ACGCCGCTTTATTGTCCACATTTCAGAAATCCTGAGGGTGGGCAATAAAGCGGGTTCGACTGTATAACAATATGGTCTTTACGCTCCACTACGATGCCCACTAGGCAGATAGGTCACTCCACATGTCTCTCTAGTTCTTGTCCCGATGTTTTACGAAACAGGCTGGATAAATCGTCACAATGTGTTTTCAAGTGAACAATGGAACAATGATAAAATACGGAAAAAAAGCTAAGGCTTGACAACTCCCCTGGGATGTTTTGTGGGAAAAATTTTAGTTCAATGAAGTTTCACAAAAGTGAAAAAGACATCTGTAGACCCAGTATATGATCCACATTAACACAAAGGTATATCCGACTACCGCGATTTCTTGGGGTCGGTATGCACAATGTTTGTCTGCGCCATGTCGTCACTCAGTGAACAGAAATCAGATCAAGTAATGTAAATGATGTAAAGCATCCGCCAGTCATTTTTAAAAAAATTTGGGTATCCTTGTCACACATCATTTTCTCAGCTCTAAATGAATTGGCTTATTAAGTAAATAAATGGATCGTTCATTCTCGATAAAGCGAGGAATGTCTCTACAGAGATTATCGTGGCAAGGTAACAAGAAGTGGTCAAAAATGTACAAAAATACAGTATGCTTGCCATAACAGGGAATGCATGGGTATGAATATATATATACTAGGTCTTTTTAAGCTGGCTACATTTTATTCCACTTTATTTGGTTTGTTTTGCCTACCTGAATAATTTTCTATTAACTGGCCACGTTGCTTACACTAATTGCGCTTATCTTCGATAACTTTGTTGCATTTGTAGCATTTTTAAGTAACCTGTGGACATTTGTTAGTTATCGCGGATTCGTTGCTAAGGAACTTACTTCATTTGCTAATTTAGCGTAGTGGTATACCGCATCTCTATGCATTATTCGATTAATTTTATTTCACCTTGTCCTTTCAAGTTATTGGCTGTTGCTTGATATTCACGATGTGGCCGCGATTGATGTGCATGTTGACAAGGTGCCTACCTGTCTATTACCCACTACATCGTTCATACTGGCTCCAGGAGACAGTTGGTCGTTGCTGGAGGGGACGGGGTGCACGGTCCCTGCGGCCGTGCTAGGCTCGAAGAGCGCTTCCATGCACTCAGTGTGGAGCGAACTACGGTCTAGACACTGCCATGTGTGCGCTTGATTTTTCGAAATACAGTGTGCTTGCTTTTGCAAGTCAACGAGTGTGGGTCTGCTCCGTTGATGAAACGTGGCTCCCATCCACATTCCTGCCGGTCTTATTCCTTCGGATTCACAGCGGAGATGGAGGGTCTGGATGAACCTGCGAGTGGTGCGACGCAAACCAAGCATGGCCCCTCTGTAGGCGCAGGGGTCCTGTGGCTGTCCCTGTGGAGGCCGCAGTGACGGGCAAATCCGGAAACTGGTTGCCGCCAACCATTGGCAGTGCAGGTAACTCCTTTAACGGATGTCACCAACCAATTGAGCATGTGTGTAGTTTGTGTTAGTAAATGTGCAGCTGCAATTTTGACTGCTTGCTCACGTCGGCACTGTGAGAATAGATCATTGATATCCGTGAGCTGAGTATCATTATGCTGATATTTACGGGAGAAGGACTTTACTTTGTGGCGAGTCACAACCGTCGAGCCACAGTGTTGATAAACAGACATTTGTGGTTTTTTATGGAGAGAAGTCTTGCCAAGCGAAAACCCACTACTTCTCGGAACACTGCCACCGAAATATTTGTTGGAACGGGTTAAACCCGCACTACCGAGCTGGCACCAGGAGAAGGTGGTTCGGCTAGCCTTCTGAAGTACATACAGCTTAAGAAATAAATATAATGGTGGTATTATTGGCATACGCTTGCGAAGCGACCGGCCACAGCATTTTCCAAAATTTCCTCCCTGCCAGTGCAGAATACCAAGGCGCATCCTTCAGAGCCGGAGCATGGTATTATCCTACATAGCGCTACGCACAACTAACGATTTCGATAGGCATCGGTAAAGGTGACTTCCGGTACACGATAACTGTGTCCCTACAATAGTCAAGTAAAACCAGAAAACCGTGAACAACGCACTAAGGTTTTGATGGCAGCTATGCATCTGCAGGCGAAATTTACCAACGCCGGAGTATTTTCATACAAACCCTCATTTTAACGTGTATTTTAGTCCAAAAATTACTTCAGGGCATTTAACTTAACAAACCAAAGTCCAACTTGGATGCCCTGCTGGAAAATTCACCACTTGTTGGAGTTCTTGGAGTTACCGATAGAAGTTTAAACCCTTATTAGTTCCAGCAACTTGGAAGAGAATAGCCTCAGTTTGATTTGGAGTCTGAACGTGCTAACTAAGGACAGCCTGACTACCCATGGGCTTCACATGCATAGAAGGCTTTGCCCATCTGAGCACCTCTGGAAATTTCCTAATTAATGGGTCAAGTTGTTTCGAACTTAACAATTTGGTATCCATATACAGGCAGTGACTGTTCTCCTGCAGGACTGTCTCCTGTAACTCATACGTATACAAGTAACCAGGCATTATTTATGACAGCAGCATGCAATTTGAACACCGCGCACAGTTATCCATAGCATTCTGTCTCGTCAGCATTTTCTTCGACACTGACGAGAATTGTTGCTCTGTTGGGTAGTGGTGTAAGTTAAGTACAAGACGTGTATGGCTGTACCATCTAGTTCCGCATCCAGCAACTCGATTCAAAATGGGCCTTATACCATAGAATTGGTAACAGTTCAGCAGGTACGCGATCAATGAATTTAGATAAAAATGTGGTCTTAGACAAACATCTGACAAATGTCGCGCAGACATGTTACGTCATTCTGGACAGGCTACTTTGCTGAACATATGAGACATGGTTATCCGCCTTAAGTGTACGTGGATACACCGTTCCTGCCGTTACATAGAAAAAGGCCACATTCACATCATACCCAGATGGAAGACGAAGAGTTATGATCAGCAGACTTGTGTTTTGTTTTGTTTGAATCAATGCTCAGTGCCTTAGTCTCCCATTACTGATGTGCTTCGGTGTGCTAGGCATGCAGGAGATGTTTTGTAACCAAAAGTCCATTTCCATGGTGTGGTTATGATTTTGGCACTGCGTTGTCAAGATGACGCTAAACTTCGTCCCAACTAACGGGGGTAAGCGTACAGCATGTGTTGGCATTCAAAGGGGCCACTGGTGAACATCAGTCGCATAGATGATGCAATCCTCGGCACTTCAGTTATGAACGGTCTTTAATAACTGAAAAACCGTCACAAATGTGGCACAACGATGATACAGATGTTGAATACCGCAAGTTAATACTTGACCCATTTGTGATAGATGGCTTGGAAGCAATCGAAATACATGCTTCTGGTGTTCGCTTTAATGTACTTAATCTGTTCTGAGGGAGACGCTGAGCATGTAGCAACTCTTTCTAATGTAGAAAGATCCCAGCCAGTCCAGAAATTAGGTAAGTTTCCTGTGATGCTTTAAGTAGGCACATCTTAAATGTGAATTGAATTTGAATAGCAACATTTTACCGCAGTGCAACACTGTCCAAATCTCCTAAGGCTCAAATTCATCACTGACATAGCGGCGTCACTATTCGGAAAGCAAGCGTCCGTCCCTAGCTCATGTTCGTCCGGTACAACTCAATTATGAATCGGTCGGTTTAAACACTAATTATACCTAACTATACATTTAGTCAAGTACTAGACCCATTTAATCTCGAGTAGGCAACTTCATGTTTGAAATAGAATAGTGTTTTTCACTTACATCCGAAAGTATAGTGAAGGCTTCTTACTACTCATGTTTGCGAGTAGCTTGGTTTTTGTATTTCTGGGAGAGTTGGTGAATGCCAGACACTGGAGGATAGGCAGCGCCGTATCGCAGTTGGTTTGGCGGCTATCTGACAGAGTCCAGATGCGATAAAGATTCTTAGTAAACGGGCTTATTTGCACAAAATCTAGGTGATTCGCATGCACTTTATGCGGACATGTCTGTTTCACCCTGATCGCTACGTGGACCAGTTTTGAGCCTTCTTTTAACTCAAACTGAGACCCACTTGTATTGCAAAATAAAGTCGAAGCTGAACTCTGTCGAATAACTGAGAGTGTGACAATATTTCCAACATACATTTGAGTACTATGAGGAGAACATGCTACAACAGGCAACAGACGGGGTCTTTAAATCGGCCGTTGACTTTTTCGCCGTACATCGTTTTTACATTAGCTTCCGTATATATCACAGTATTGCAAGATTACGCTGATGGATATTTTGTTCGATCAACATCCAAGGTCAGTGAAGTGCTTTACTCCATCCAAATTTGAACATACACGAGCGATATCGCGTACGATCAGCGATCTCTTGTCTTTGGACATAAAATTCTACGTCAATTGAAACGAATTCCAAAGACACATTTGTATGAAACCATTTCCCTTTTTAATGGATACAAATCCCAAAGCTTTAGTCCAGCTTTTTCGAATCGTTTCTCGCTCGATCAATGGCAGGGAATCCTCATTTTTCTACCTATTGTTAAATTTACATTTTAATGGTAACTCATTAGTAAATTGCCAGTTGATAATGTAAAGGCTGAAAATGTACTCTTTTGGGTACAGAAAAGTTCTACTCTGACTTGACTTGTCTTGAAACCCCCCCACATGCCTACTGGTATGTATTCAGCACGAGAAATGGTACTACTATGTCGCACTGCCCGTATCAGCACCGAATACGCTGATTAGTAGGTTTGCATACCTTCCAACTTCGTATATGTCATTGGCATGCGTTGTGCGGTTTTGGATTCCAACGCGCCTTAATTGTTACCTCGCACGCCACTGCATACGATATCCCGGTTCGTAAAATCCATCCTGCCATACGAATATTTCCTCCTCTCTCTCCTACAGAGTGAACAACCCCTAATTATTTTCACTCTAGTCACATTCTTGTACAACTAATTTATGGATCAAGTTTTACTAGTTTACGCTTTCTGTTTGTCTGTCAGTGGTTAACCAGCTGGCGTCTGAAACTGGTGAAAGAGAAAGCCCGTCTGGTTGGCACTTGTGAAGAATTGCGATCACACCTGTCTGTTATGTGGCGTCGTCTGGATAAACCTATGGCCGAGCAAACCGCCATTTTGGAAAAGTACTCCGGGTACAAACCGGAAACACTGGAGGCACTACAGGTGAGTATCTTACCAGATGGGACATTATTCACTACCTAATCGATTGCTATGCTTACCATCTTCGATAGTTTATCGTATTTCGACCATGTATTCAGCCAGGGTAGATTTCCTCAACATATAGTTCTTTAAGTGCGGTTCTTCGCAGCCAGTTTCCAAATCAGATAGTCGTCCACATGCCCGGAAAAGCACTAAACTGCAGTTTCAGCCTGTTGGGCATCGTCAGTAGTGCGCATCCATCGGATCCCTTAGGATTCGAACCCATGACCACCAGCGGCTTGAACCGCCAGTCAGCAGCTTATGCCACTGGGCCACGGGGGACAGCTTCGGACCGTCATGATTTACAAGCTAACTGCGATATAGCGCGTCTTATCCTCCACTTCCGTACAAGTTACGAACGTTGCAGAGGACAGGGTTGGCCCCGAAAGACACGACGTTCACTACCATTCTATGTCGCATATAGCTACTGTTAGTGAACGTCGTGTCTTTCGGGGCCAACCCTGTCCTCTGCAACGTTCGCAGCTTACATGGCAGTCAGGGATAAGACGCGCTATATCGCAGTTAGCTTGTAAATCATGACGGTCCGAAGCTGTCCCCCGTGGCCCAGTGGCATAAGCTGCTGACTGGCGGTTCAAGCCGCTGGTGGTCATGGGTTCGAATCCTAAGGGATCCGATGGATGCGCACTACTGACGATGCCCAACAGGCTGAAACTGCAGTTTAGTGCTTTTCCGGGCATGTGGACGACTATCTGATTTGGAAACTGGCTGCGAAGAACCGCACTTAATTGCATCAAAATCCCCTACTCATAAGTACATCAAAATATAGGTCTTTAATGGATCAAACATCGTGCGCATTCAGGTGTGAAGTGCAGACGCACCTCAAGACTAGCATGTTTGATGTCAAACTTTAATGAATAATGTAGATTAGATTCAGAAGAAAATAAAATACGGTACTGTTCTTAACATTATTCAGTGTAACGTGTTAGTCGTTGCAACTTTGAATGGATCAGCTTTTGCCTCGCGTACAGATCTGCTGTTGTGAGAATTCGTGAATCCCGAGGACAGCCCTGCTCTCTGTAACCTTCGGAACTTGCATGGCAATGAAGAATTGACCAACCTATGTCGCATTAGGCATGTAGGTCCTCACTGTTTGCCCATGTCTCATGTGGATCATTGACATAAGATGCTGCCCATGGAGCAAACCGCTAGTGTCGACAATTCATGGATTCGGTTCCCGACGGCACCGTAAGATGCACAGCGCTGACGAATCCACATAACACTAAACAGCCGTCTGGTAGTTTCTCGATTAGTGGCGGACTGTGTGGCTTGTAATATACTGCGATGACCTCATTGAAAACTGGAAGGTAACTCAGAGTTTGGAAACGTGGAAAATAAAAGCATACATTGAAACAAACATGGGCTTCATCAGTCGAGTAAGGGAAAGCAGCAGATCCTGTGAGCACATTAATTCAATGGCGACATCCACCTACCTAATGACATAAGATTACAGGGAGGGATTGTTGAGGAGACCAACTAGCAGCTTGACATTGACATCTTGAAACTGATGAAATAAACTAAGTGTTGCTTCACATAGCATTGGAAGCAATGAACAACCCCTATACACGACGACCTTATAGAATAAAATGTTAGAGGAGACATGGGAATCAAAGCATAAGCCTTTGATCTGTCTCACGAGTACGGTGAAGATGCAATTGCTTCAAATGTCGTGCTGAAAACCATCCAATGTTTTCAGTTTATTCAGATACTGCTCGCTTATCTGATGCCGCTATTACCTTGGAATTATTGAGATGTCACTGGTTAGTAGCAGTTACTCTTACCACTTCTCGAAAGACAAATTCAATAGGCGACGGGATCTTGTCATCACAAACCCCTGTTCAAAGTTGTGTTCGGGTACACGCTTAGTTTCAGTTGGTGTGTGCCAATGCACTTTCCAAGGCATGTACCCAGAGCTGACAATTCCTTGCTTGTCACTGCCAAGATTACTGATCACTGATTACTGGTTGGAAGCAGCTAGTAGACTTTGCTCTGTATAGCAGCATCTAATGTCACTCTGGGACAAAGACCCGTTATGTTGTGTTGCGCTCAATTTATTTTGCGTCGATAAAGTGTTTGTCCAGGAAGTTCTTAAATTCCGACACCGACTTTGCCTCAACTACATGCTGCGGCAGGCCGCTCCATACATTCACCATACTGCATTCGAAACAGAGTTGGTGAGCGACGCGCTTCAAATCCGGTACGACAAGCTTGTACCGGTGTCTTCGTGTGCTGCTTGGTGTGCGCAGACGAAGCAGCGATCTCAACATGGGGTAATCTCCCGGATGTACTATCCGGTGCATCATGATGAGGTCAACCCGCATTCGACGATAAGCTAATGCGTACAGCCCTAGTTTCTTACACCGGTCTTCGTACTGCACACCTCGTAAATTGGGAATCAGCCTGAAGGCTACATGCTGCATTCGCTCAAACTTTTCTTCTTCGCCCCGGGTGATAGGACAAAACGCGGGAGAGACATACTCTATCACTGGTCATAGTATTGAGACGAAGGAGCAAGTGGCAATCTCTTCGGACCAAGTGCTGAAGCTGCGCCTGAGCGTCCAAAGCATACGAAGGCTGTTTTGGTAAATCTTATTCGTGTTGTCCATGGACTTTAGGTCATGGCGTGAGAGTACACCGAGGTCGCGCACGAAAGGCGCGCGATGCAACGGTTGACCAGCCACCGTGTAGGTTCGACTGTGCTCACATTTACCCTGCATCATGAATTACGACTTGACAGGGTTGATCGGAAGGTTGACCTCTGCAGACCACGTGGAGGGACGGTCGAGGTCCTGCTGAAGCAGATCACAATCATTGGGTGTGAGGATTATTCTCCACACCTTCAAGTCATCTGCGAACAACGCACAAGGTGATTGGACTATCTGAGGCACATCGGTTACATGGATGAGAGACAAAATCGGTCCCAGTACATTACCTTGGGGCACACCCCTGCTCGATGGATACCAGTCGGTTAAATGATTGTCCACCTGGACCCTCCACTTTCGATCAACAGGGAAATTCCTGATCCATTGGTCCAGCGAGCCACCAACATCGCACACCATCAGTCTGTCGAGGAGCACTGCATGATTTACCTTGTAAACTTCGGGTTAATCCCGTTTCAGCGAATAGTTCGGCGGTAGTGTTCCAGGATGTGATGGGTTTTCGCTTGACAAGCACTTGTCATCAGAATACCGTTCATTTTAACTATATAAGGATGGGACTAGTTTTATTCACGACAAATTCAGAATGCAAATCAACACATCTCCTCTGCTTTACTAAGCAGTACTGGTAGCGCCCCTCATCTGACGACTTCCGCTTCGCTAGTGTTGCTGCGAAACTTGCCACTTAACCTACCAGATATGGTAACAGCATCTTTAACACAAGGTCGCTTCCCTGTGTCATTTGAATTACAACTCTTTTATTAAAACTGGTTCGATCTGAAAATCCAGTTGTTGACTGTATCACATAAGTAACGATGTGTGAGATTACGTATATCAGTTTGACATTTCTCATTCCAATTTCTGTACCTATTGACAGGAGGAGGTTGATCGGTGTCAACAAGTTAAATGGGAAAAACTTGACATTTATCTCAGTAGACTAGCCACAGAAGCTGCAAGGCTAGCTCGGCTCTGCTGTATGAGCGAAGATGTGGTACAACTTCCACCTGGCCGTGACCCCAATGATCCAGAAGTGGCGGCCAATCACTTAGAGACTGTGGTAGAGCAGCTAAACCAAACCTATGAGATGCACAAATCGATCTTTGATAGCATAGCTTTGTATGAAGAGCAGTGGCAGTCTCTGGCTGAGGTGGAATTGCGACTGAAGGACCCAGCAATCTTCTCTAATCGTGGTGGCATTTTATTGAAGACAGAGAAAGAGAAGAAGAGGTTGCTTAAAGAGGTTCAACGTACAGAACAAGAGGCACTGTCCGCCATTGAACAATATGAATTAAAAACCAAGAAAAAGTTTACATTATCCGACGGTCGTTCTTTTAAAGATTATGTACAGGACCGCGCGTCAAATAATAGGCCGACGAGGGAATCATCGCGAGTTCGAAAATCAACCGTCACCTCGAATTCCAGACCGAATTCGGTAAATTTGTCTGGCCCGCCAGGTGCACCCGTGTGATTCACCCAAAAAGACGGCAAGATGATTTGTTTTGATATCGTCTCCCTCAACTCCCTCCAATCATTCTCCGAGCTTTCTTCTCACGCATAATTTTTATTTGATTTATTTGCACCATTGCATTCGTTATATCACGTGATCACGGCGTTACCTGTGTTTTTCCTGTATACAGTTTAATGATTTTTGCATAAGCCCACAATCACACCCACTGAGCACAAAATTTTCCTTACTATCATATCATATTTCATTGATTTTTATCTATTTTCCGTGTCTTCCTCCACTTTCTCTCTTTAACGTCCTCCCCTCATCCACCTTGCACAATCACACACATGGAACAAAGTGCAATCTCGAAGTCTCAGCTCTTTCTGATGTCCACCAACTGGTTTTGGTCTGATTACATACAAATTATGCATCAAACACGCTGTATACACCGCCGAGTGACATCTTTTTTGTTGCCGCTTTTTATTTTTTAAGAGTTGCAAATGTTTATTTTGCTAGCGTATAGATCAGCCGGTCGATATTACTGCTGCCTATGTTGATAAATGTGGTCGATGCTTTTTGCATGACCCTGTGCGGTGATAAATAAATAAATAAATATAAATAAACGTTTTATTCCTCAACAGTGCGTGGTACAGACAAATTGGGTGGTCTTATCGACATGTACAACGTGTTTTGGTCAATGATTCCCATATAGTTTTCCGCAGTGATTAGTAGTTTGAAAATAATAGAGAGATTACGAAACTGGGAACAACATTAAATGTAGATTTCCCGGAAAGTCCAAGTAAAATAATGCGGTCATCCATGGAACTGTCCCCAGGGGACTTGCTTCCATGCAGGTTGTTCTCACGATGCGTTTCACCTGCACTTCCAAGTTCCAATTGGCTCTGTGCAGGTGTGGCAAAATAGTAAATACGCCATCAGAACTAGGTATCAAATGTCTTTTTTAGGGCTTTTTTATGCATACATTATAGGCGATGAAGCCTCAGCCCGTTCCGTCATACGGATCAATCAAGTATGGCAGTTTTTTGTTTTAAGCAAGTGAGTCAGCAGTGATATGATTTGCATGGGTATACTTTTTTATTTTGGAAGGTGTAATCGGTCACCACAAGAGATCAGCCCAGTCATGACCACCAATAAAACAAAGAAGACAAAATATGACTAATTATAAAACATAATAATGAGTACAAACGCTTGCCGATAGGCCAATCACAATTTGATGGAAAAGATTGGCGAGTGACGACGATGGTACAGAGACATCAGCTTGAAAAGCGTACTGCATCTACAAATCAGTGCGTCAAAGGAGAAAACAGAATTGGTTAGACGGGTTGATAGGAGTAAGATCACTTACAATGCATACTCAAGAATTCAACTATATGTAGGTAACCTTACAATATTGAACCGAATGGAGGATATGGTGACTTTCATATGTATCCAGGACCTTTCTCATACAAACCAAGTAGAGTCACCGTTTGGCCTAGTGTTGACCAGATATATGCAGCTGTCAGGTGAATATTAATCATGCGTCTGAATTGTGCATAGGTAGTGCAGTTTCTAATACTCGATGGAAGTTTGTTCCATATTAACGCACATTTTACGGAGAAAATATTTGAGCGGAGCTTTGTGCGAGACTTTTGTACTTGCAATGTGCGCTCGCTGTTTCTTAGTTCATAGCGCATACGAGTCTAAAACTCCAGTTGTGGCTGAGCAGTGCAACTCAATCCGAATAGTAAGCGGTATAAAAGGCACAGATTAAGTTTGAGCCTGCGTAGCCACAGCGGATCCAGATTTAGCGCCTCGCAATGCTCACGGTATGTCATAGTATTAGGCATGTTCAATAACCTCTTTGTGAATGATCGTTGCATGTTTTCTAGTGCTATAATGTCCACTTTTCTCAGACTAGTATGCACTATCGTACGGTACTAAAGCTTCGGCCTAACACATATTTTGAAGGCCTGAAGCCCTGAATCTCTCAAAATAAGAGTTCGACTTAGGTAGGCTATCAATTTTCTGGCAGAAACCTGCAAGAATATAACATGCCCTAAAAAATTAAATGAGGCAGAATATCGTAAACCAAGGTCTCGGACTGCGCCACACACAGGAATAGGGGTATCGTTTAATGTAAGGATGTTCAGAGAAGGGCCACAGCCATGGTACAATAGATTACTCTTATCAGTGGCAAAGTGCGGCTTCCAGGAGTTACTCCAGTGCTCCAATGAGGACAAGTCAGACTGAATATAGGCTAAGTTAAGGCTACATTGCCCAGGGGCGGAAAAATGCACAATTTTAACATCATCAGCGAAAAGGAACGGCTTCCCGTACGAGATTTCATCAAGGAGATCGTTGAAATAGCTTAAGAATAAAAGCGGGCCTAGCACGCTACATTGAATCACTCCACTAGAGATTGTAGTGGCTTCAGATGCATAGTTACCGATTCTGAATACTTGCTTGCTACTCTAGAGGTAGGAAGACAACCAATCTAGAAACGAATTTGTGATACCATGGGACATAAGCTTCCGCAACAACAAATTGTGTGGGACACGGTCAAAAGCCTTTTGGATATCAAGAAATATTACGATGATGGCACTTCCGGCGTCTCTTGCTCTAGTCACATAATCAAAGTACTCTAACTGACAGATAGTGCACGACCTACCTTTCAAAACCCATGCTGATGTTTACTGAGAATGCTCACAGAACTCAAATATTCAATAATGCGTTCTTTAACTAACCTGGAGATAATAGATGTGTGGTGGATTAGGCGATAATTTTTTACATCTCGCATAGATCCGCTTTTGTATCGTGGTATTATAGTTGATTGTTTCCAGTGTATAGGATACTCCCCATTGAGCATGGAAAGTGTAAATTAAGCAAAATAGGGGGATGTCTGGACCTCCGTGCTTGACCAGTATTGGCGAGATGTCGTCAGGGCCTGGAGAGCATAACGAGCGAACTAATCTGAGTTTGCGACAGACGTCAATAAGTGTAAATTCAACAGTTCGGAGTGTATTACTGCCTCTGTGTAACAGCTTGAGCTGAGGATCTTCTTTCGCATTAGTGCCATAAGTAGACATCAAGTTGTCATTACAGATCGAACATATGATTGCACGATCGGTCATGGCAGTTCCATCAGAGTTCACAATAGTGTTTATACAACTTGATTTTCTATTCTGCCTACGGTCCAAAAGTTTTGAGATGCAGCCTACCACGTTGGCGCCCTTCAGTGCCATTACCTCCTCAGAGCATAGCATTTTGTGTTGGTCTTGATATAACCCTTTAAACAATCAGGTGTGGAGCATCAGCAGAGTAAAATCGTTTGTTTTCCTAAAGGTTTTTTTATGAAGTTTAGTGGCTACCTTTTTTGAGATGCCTGCAGGTGCAGCAGCCCTTTTCAACTTCTTAATACGTTCTGGAGCCACAACTTCAACACAAAGCTGAATGCGGTGGTAGAATTCATTACAAGCAATTTGTACATTCGGTGCTAAGAAGAATGGATCCCAATATGAAGACCTTATAAGATCCGAGAAAAATGACCAATTCGCAGAAGAGAATGGGCGGTAATTGATCACTGATTCTATCGGTCTAGAGAGAATTTGGAAAGAACAACCAACGATGTTATGATCACTACCCGGCAACTTGTCACTAATGTATGTGGACGCAGGCAAACATCCCATAGTAAATATTAGATCAGGTGTGTTACCAAGCCGTGTAGGTTCTTTGACTGTTGTACCCATCTAAATCGACCAAGAGTAGACATAAAAGGATTGTGTTTTGTGGTTTATTGTTATGGAACCATGGGATTTCGGTCAAATTGAAATCCTCAGCGATCATTTTATTAGTGTACGAGAGGTCAGCAATAAAAGAAAATGTGTCCAACAAGTCATCGGTTGTCTTTCGGTGTATTACAGCACAGTAGCTGATGTGTTCCCCACCTCTAG